GTCACGGCATTTTTAAAGTGATGCACCTACTTTTTTTGTCATTAGGAAGAACTGCCATATCCTAAAACGTTAAATGTTAAAACTTCCACAAGTTTGCAGTTATCTCATTTAAGACCATTATTAGATTTGAATTTCATGGGTAGATTCGATCGAACAATCGTGGCCAATTTAATATATGATGAATATGGTAGAAGAACCAGTTTTCTAAATTGTAGGTATCCTGATCCCGGACATGAATCATTTTTGTTTTTCGTGTATACCGCATAGCGGGACAACAAGTGTTCCTAAACCTGTTCAAATATTTCAACAGGCAGCTTGTGGAAGCATTAAGCGGGAAACGAAAACCAGAAAAAATTTTTAGGCTGACCCAAGAGGTGCAATAAAGTGAGTGGGATAGTTCGAGTACATTCGGCAAAACAGGATTTCTTGTGCGAGTTGGGATTCATCGAGTATCAGCGTTGAGCCAAGTTTTGTTCTTAATGGCGACAGATGCGATGGTTATTATTCTGCAGAAGCATCATGATGCTTCTGATGTTGAAAGTGAAAACAGAGAACCAGTAGAAGCGAAAACCGAGGTATGCAGAAGAATTTGACGATAACGACCTTCGACTCAGCTGAGGCTAGTCGGAATACATGGCGGTATATTTCGGCGCAAGAAACAGAGGGAAAGCGAACAAATCAGTGAAGGCAGTGAGGAGTGTGTTGCCTGCTATCCACTAATTCCAGTACTTTGTAATGACAATGAAGTAATCGACAGTAAATTAATAAAATCGGTCAAATGGCATGTGGCTGAAACAGACTGAATTGAGTAGCGTGCTGTGCGATTATAGGATGCCATCAGGATAAAGAGAAAGGTTCACAGAACGATAGTAAAACCGGTAGTTCTGCACGGAGCGGAATGTTTGACTACTGTGAAGAGACACGAGCAACAGGTGAACTTGATAGAAATACGAATGCTCAGATAGATGTGTGACGTCTTAAGAAAAAAGCTACGTCTGCAGCGAATACCTTCATAAAAAGCACTTTTGGTTTAGCACCAGTTACGGAAAAGCTAATCGAAAGCATTCTCCATTGGTTCAGACACGTGAAAGAAGACTCAACTAGTACAGTTGAGATGTAGTCCAAGCACTTTTGCTGCCATAAAAGACTAGTGCAAGGCGACACGATGCCGTAAAAAACGAAACGATATAAAACTGTGATGAGTGACTGAAGATTTGACTATAAATCGACAAATATGGAGACAGATTACTCGAACAGTGCACCCTGTTAAGGAAATACTCTAGGAACCTGAAGAAAAGAAGGTCGTAGATAGCTGATCTCAAACAGGTTTCTTCCTCATTAATTCCTGGGCCTCTCATTCAGTGGATGTGATGCACGATGTGGATCATTTCATACACCTCAGAACTGCATTTACTAACGATGGTGACATCCTTGAGCGAACCGATTTATTGGACTAGCACGAGCGAATTGTGGCAAACTGTAAGACATATGGAAGGATTGGACTATAATAACAGACGCGAAGATCATTGTGCTGGCGATACCCATGTACAGTGTCGAAACATCTGTCGTGAAGTGCCATGAGTCTCGTTAGACAGCTTTTAACAGCGCTCTCTGCGAAGCACTTTGCAGGTGCTAATGACCATCAGTTTGAAAAGCTCTTAGATGAACTCAAAGAGACCGGCGCCTTACTTAGTTTAACAAAACTGC